AATACTTCTTATCTCTCATATTTTTTTATACACTTCAAATCTTATATATAAGTGATTTTATATTATATTGAATCTATCAAATCACTAACAGCTTTATATTGTATTGTGCTGAGCAAATTGCTATTATTGACTTTGGTTTTTGTATTGTATTGTGCTAAATAAATCACTATTATTGAATTATTAAGCTTTATATCATATTGTGTTAAATAAATTTCTGTATTGAAAATGATTGAAATTGAATTATAAGTATTTTATTTTTTGTTATTTGAATTTTAATTATTAACAAATATTTCTTACTTGAGAGAAGAACAAAGTAAAAGAATCTTTGTTATTGTTATTACTAATTATATTATCTTAATTCTAAAAAGCTTTACACAAGTATAGAATTATCTCTTTTAAATTTTTTTTATTATTCTTTATTCTCTTTCTTCTCCTTTGACTTTTACTCTTTTATAACTCTTCCACATTATTATTTCTTTTTAAATAAATACAATTTTCATAGAAATTGATATAGACTTTAGATATTCTTCTTTTCTTTTAATATTTTCTTTATTAGTTTATATTTTTTTCTAATCTAGATTGTTTGTAAGTTAATTTTATGATTAGTGAACAAATTTATAACAATATATAAAAGTAAAAAATAAAAAGTGAAAATATAAATAGTAAATAATAAAAAGTGAAATAATATTAAAATATTTTACTATTATATGAATATTTTTGGAATTTTCATGTTTTTCAATTATTTTTGAATTTGTGATTTTTATATTATTACTATAATACTATATTTATATTTTTTATTATATAATTATTTTAGAACTAAATATTAATAAACTTAATATAAATATTTAATTTTACAATTTTATTCAAATTAAATAATTTAAAATTTAATTTTATTAATTTTATTAATTTAAATATAAAAAATAATTTAGAGTATGTAAAATATAATAAATAAATTTATTTTTAATTTTATTTTGTTTATCAGTATTTTTAAGTTAAATCTAATAAATAATCTAAAATATTTAAATATTAATAAATAAATTTATTTTAGAATTAAATTAATAATTTATTATATTATTTTTTTAGAATTTATTATATTATTTTTTTAGAATTTATTAATTAATTATATAATATTTATTATTTAATATTACTAAAATAAAAAGCTAAAAATTGATATTAACATTTTATTAAATTAAATATGTTCAGAAAAAAATATTAAATTTTATAAGAATAATATTTATTTTTTTTGCTAAAGCAAAAAGAATATTTGATTAACTTAGAACATACAATTAAAAATGTTCTTGTACTTTTATATTATAATATTTAATTATAAAATTATATATAGTAATAATCAAAAATATAATAATATCAAAATTTATTAATTAAATATAGATTTTTTCTTTATATAAAAGTTTTTAATTTTACTAATAAGTATTTTTATTTTTATATTAAATAAAGATAATATCACATATTTTATATATATTTTTTTCAAATATTCTAATAAAGCTGTTCTAATTATATATAAAATTAATTATTTTATATATATTTAAATATAAAAAATAATTGACTTTATATCTAATTAGAAAAAATATATATTAAAATATATAAAATTATTTTTATTTTAATGTAAAATAAAAAATAAAAATATATATTAGTAAAATTGAAAATTTTATATAAAAAATCTGTATTTTACTATATTTAATTAATAAATTTTGATATTTTTGCATTATTTCTGATTGATATTATATGTAATTTTATTAATAAAATATAATAATATTTAAAATATTTAAAATATTTATTATATAATAGTTATTAATTTTTTAATTAATATTTTTTATTTTGAATTTTTAGAGTTTAATAACAAAGTTATTAATTAATATTTTTTATAATTAATTTTATAATTAAATCTAAAAATTATATATAATAATATAAATTATATTTTTTACTTTAATACATTAATAAAATTAATAACTTTAATTATAATAAAAAATTAAATTTTTATAATACTTTATTAATAAAATTATATATATGATAACAATTAAATAAAATATAATTATATCAAAATTTATTAATTAAATATAGTAAAATATTAGTTTTTTTCTTTATATAAAAGTGTTTAATTTTAATATTTAATATTTTTTATTTTTATATTAAAATTAAGATAATATTATATAATTTAATATATTTTTTAAATTTAATCTAATCAAGTTATTCTAATTATATATAAAGTTAATTATTTTTTCATATATTTTGACTTATAAAAAATAATTAACTTTATATATAATTAAAATAACTTGATTAAATTAGATCTGAAAATCTAAAAAAATATGTAATATTATTTTTAGTTTAATATAAAAATAAAAAATATTTATTAGTAAAATTAGAAACTTTTATATAAAATAAAAAATTCATATTTTGCTATATTTAATTAATAAATTTGAATTATTATTATATATTTTTATAGTTTTTATTATTTAATATATAATAATAATTAAATATAATATAATAACAAAAAACTTTATTAATAAAATATATAAAAATATAAAAAATATAAATTTCCTCTTTATATAAAAGATTTAATTTTACTAATAAATATTTTTTATTTTATATAAAAATAAAAATAATATTATATATTTTAATATATTTTTTTAGATTTAATTTAATAAAGTTATTTAATTATATATAAAATCAATAATTTTTTATATATTTTTATTATAAAAATTTATTGATTTTATATGTAATTAAAATAATTTTGTTTATTTTAATATTATTTATTTTAATATTATCTTTATTTAATATTATTTTTATTTTAATATAAAAATAAAGATATTTATTAATAAAATTAAAAACTTATATAAAAAATAAATCTGTATTTTTTATATTTTTATTATATTTTATTAATAATTTTTTTGTTATTGCATTCTTTTTTATTATTATTATATATATAATTAAATATATAATAAAATAATTATTAACTAATAAAACAAATTAATTATTAAATATTTTTTGTTTTTGATTTAAAAAAAATTGGATAAAAATTTTAATACTAATTTTTAATTAAATTAAATATTTTTCTGGTTAATATTTAACAAAAACTGGTTAAATATTATTATTAAAATTTTAACAGATTTTCAGATTAAATTTTCTAGAAAGGAATTTGTTTTTTTATAAAAATATTTTTTATTTTTTTTAAATGAATAAGTTTTTTATTTTCATAAGTTTATAATATAATTAATTTTTATCTTCTTTATTAACTAAAATTAATTATATTTTATTAATGTTATTTTTTTACTAAATATACAAAGCAAATCATTCAAATATAATTTTATATTTAAAATTCTAGATTAAAGATGTTTGCTAAAGTGTAATTATATACAAATACAAAAAAACCAAAACTTTTAAATATTATTAAGTTAAAACCAAAAATACTTATTGATATTTGAGTAATCAAAACTAAAATTTTTAACAACAATTTTATATTCTAGCTTATCAATAAATATTTAAATTATTTAAAATAATATAGACAATTTTATAACAAAGATGTCTTAATTCTTGGAAAAAATGTTTTTGTAACTCAAAGTGCAAATTAACAAAAAAATAACATTCAAGTTATCTTTTTTAAGTGACAATATATAATTAATTAATATACTTTATTGTTCAAGTTATTATGAATGTGACTGTAAAAAGGTAAGTATAGTGGGGATTTGACTATAATTATCCAAAAAAATATACATTACCAGGCAGGCAGGCGGGATCATGACGCTGGTATTTCAAGAAAAATACATAGTTTCTATAACGATAATACTTTACAATATTTTTTTCTATATCTTTGAGATGGATGTGAACAGTGATTTTGTACATGTAGTAATAGATGCTAGTGTATGAAATTTGATTACAATGATATCAATTAAAGTGAAAGTACAGTACGTACGTACATGGATATACGTAATTGCATCTTCTTTTGGTCAGCAAATGATTCTATTTGTAAAACTGTGGACGTATTTGTCAATCTCCATACGTATTCCAATGAAATAATCGATTCTCGAAATTGATAATGTCGAGTAAAATTAATCGATTTCAATACGTACACGAGTGACGTTATCATCATTAGATCCTATTACATGTACATGTATTACTAAATGACAAAGTACGTAAGTAGTTTGTCGCAGGTCGTAACATTGGTCAAATTGTTAACAGGTGGAAATTGAGTTTTTCTTAACTTTGAGGAATAAATTGATTCTCAACATAACCAACTTTTTCTATAATCGATTTTTCACCTTGTCTCAAAAATCAATTTCGGCTCATAAACAAAATTATATCTTATATGGGGACATTCCCATGTCCTTTAAGCTCTATCACTATAACTATAAAAAAGGGAAAAAGTGTCTAGGCAAAAACAGGTAAGTTTATTATCGTTATGGGGAAAGGACAATACGTATAACGCACTGTCATTTTCCTACCTGAGCAATGGTGTATCCCAACAAAATGGGACAACTCCGCCATGTCACAAGATAAATGTGATAATCGAACCAATCCATATTTGACAAGTTTCTTTGGTCAGAATTACTGTTCAATTCTTGCTACCGATACGAACTAAATCTAAACTACGTAGGACTATCATTATTTAAATAGCGATAGAAACACGTGGTTATTTGAGAAGTGATTTCAATTCACCAGTTTTTGAAAAAAAGGTGGTTGTTTATGACGGTGACTTTGATTTTTGTACGTATCGTGTCTATCGCAATTAACCGAACAAATTTGTTTAATGTTACATTTTACGTTGATACATAGATTTTTCCATATTACCGTTACGTACTGTCGTTTTAGCAATTATCATTCCACCGCCTCAATCACTATCCATAAAAGTTCAATGTGTCCACAACAAAAATCACCCAATCAATTATAAAAGGTAACACCGATGCACGTACATGTATAAAGTTTGGCATTAATTTTTGACATCGAATTTTTTAAAAAATATTAGATTAACGCTAACGATAACGATAATGAGCAAAACACAAAAACCACAATGTCGCACCAATAACTACAACAAATATCCAGAATATCCACCACTACAGCAATTTCCTCCTCCTTCAGCACAAAAAAGTGTGCTTAAAAACTTCGAAAAAATTATCAAAAAGTTCAAAAATGTAAAGCTAACAACAGCAATGCGATGCCACTTATCAGATCTCGCCAAAGCACAAACACCAAATGAATCCAGAGCAATAGTTCGAGACATATTTCTCGATAGTTCAATGTCTCGCTTGGAACAATACGCATTGATTAGTAATCTGTCAAAACTTCGATTATCATCAATAGGGAGTGATGCATGGGCCGACAAAGTCCAGCAATATGTTGATAAATATCCAGAATTTAATAAACCGGCAGTTTACAAGACTGACGATTTTTTGTGTTGGATTCCGGACGACATCAATACTCTCGAAAATATTCTCCAACATTTGGAGAATGCCAAGAACAGTCTAATTCACAAATATACTGGCAGGGAACCATACTCAAAATTGATCCAAGATTGGTTTCCAAAATGCACCAACCATCCTTTTGACGATGAATCACTTGAACTATTTCTTGATGGGCTTATTGACGCCTGCTATGACCAAATTTTTCCGACTGATGACAATGAGTCACTTGGATCTAATAAGTATTTGACTGAAGATCGTTCTCTTCAACTGGCTTTGTTGGATGGAGTTGCTCGAAAAGTTCCTCGTGAAAGAGAAGGAATAGGATATGAATGGGCAGGTAGAGTAAATATAAATGGTGGGTTTGTTTTGGCTACAACAAATACGTAAATAAAAAATAATGCTTTAGTGGAATTGAAGATTTTTAATATCGCATAACAATTTATAATGTCATAGCAAAAAATTTAAATATATGTAAAAAATTTAAAAAATTCCTCAGGTGCCATTGAAATTATTTCATCCAGCCAAAAATTTTCAAATTGTACATTTCTCAACCAGAGATGCCTTCCTCAAAGAAATCTACAGTTATTTCACGTGATACTGAGTTCGGGCCTGATGTTTTCGCTGGCAATGGACGTTTTATGTATCTTTATTGTAACAAAAGTAACATCTCTCATCATAAAGCTAAACGCGCGCCCAATATCTTATTAAGAATATGAAAACTGCTAAAGTCAAACAGCCTATAATTAATTATTTATTGGCATAAGTTGCTACTGATATTCCATTGACAAGTTGCAAGTTTTTTTCAAAAATTGTCGTGAGGATGGGCGATTTCTTAACGTTAATATTAAAATAAAATTATACTTTCTTTTAATTTATTTTACTGGTTGGAGTAATCCTTCAAATGGATCGATTTAAACCTTTGCGTTTGTTACACATACCGATACTTCTGATCATCGTGGAGTCTTCGAAACTTATTCAATGAAATTAGTATTGAAATTTTTGTTAGATTAAATTTTGTATAATATTTTCTAAATTTTTAAAAGATTCTAAAAATTTCTGAAACTTACTATTTTTTTACAAAATAATTTTAAAACTAAATTATTAATAATTTAAATACTAATAATTTATTAAATTCTTAAATAAACTTTTTAATTTTATTATAAATAATTTTTAATTTTATATCAATAAAAATTATAAATTATATTCTAACATATATTTTTCTAGCTTTTTATAAAATTAATTATAAAAAATTTTTGTAATAATTTTGTAATTAAAATAACTTTGTCAAATAAAAAAATATTCTTGTGAATAAAAATATTATAATATTTTTAATATTATAAGAAATTATAAATATATATAAGTTTTGAATATATATCAATAATAATATTATTATATTTTTTATTTATATTTTAGCATTTTTTTTATATCTATTACAATACTTTTTTATTTTATATTAAAATATAAATTATAGTCTTATTTTAATATAGAAATAAAAACTTTTATATTTTAATTTTTAATATATTTTATTAATAAATTTATATATATAATTTCATAATTTTATTATATATTAACTAATAATTAATATATATATAATAGCAATTAAAATAATACAACAATATCAAAATTTATTAATTAAATATAATAAATTATTTATATAAAAGTTTTTAATTTTACTAATAAATATTTTTATTTTTATATCAAAATAAAGATAATATCATATATTTTAATATTTTTTAGATTTTTTAAATTTAATCTAATAAAGTTATTCTAATTTTTTTAAACAGCTTAGTAAAATTGAAAACTTTTATATAAAGAGCAAAATTTATATTTATTATATTTAATTAATAAATTTTAATATTACTTTTGATTGCTATTATAATACTTCTTTTTAAAATAAAGTAATATATTAGTGAGCTTTTTAGAACAATTTCAGTATTTTTTTTGGTTAACACTAATTATTTTCTATAGATTTTCAACTTTTTACTGTTTTCCTAATAAATTTATTGAATAGTGTTTTTTTTTGATATCCTATTTGATTATCAATTAACTTTTTATTACTGTGAGCACATTGCTTTAGGTGTGTGTGAAACAGTTGCGAAGTGAAGCAGAGTATAGTTATCTATTTAGTTAACAATTAGCTTTTTTATTATTGTGAAGTAAAATGGTGCAGTAGCATTCTTTAAGTTTTCTAATAATAAAAAAGATAGATAAATTTTTAGGTCAATTTTGGTGTTTTTTTGTTAACTTTACTTAATATCTATAGCCCCTTCTGAAAGGACTGAGGTGGAACATCTATTCCCACCTGGAAGGTTTTTGGAACATCGAACATATATCATTATAGCCCCACCTGGAAGGACTGATGCGAAACGTAGTGGAGCATTTATCCCCACCTGGAAGGTTTTTTTTGGATGGCAAAAAAATCATGTAGCAAAAAATATGAAGTATTAGTTATCTATTTAGCTCACAAATAGTTTTTTGTTTTTGCGGAATAAAATGAAGCTATTGTATTCTATAAGTTTTCTAATAGTAAAAAAGTTAGTAATAAAATATAACAAAATTTAAGGACAGTTTGGTGTTTTTTTGTTAATACTAACGATTGATCTATTTATTGGCACTTTATGTCAATTCAAGCTGATTTCCAATCTGAAGTTGTCGAGCATAGAACTGCATAACATAATACCCTTTAGCATGTTTTTTACATGTTCCCGGTGCAGAAGCAGTAGGCTTATTACAAACCTCACATAAAACACGTTTTTTAGCTCGCCAATGTTCGTGGCATCCTTCACGACTTCGAAATCTACGTCCACAGACTTCTCCGGAGTTGTGTATATTCGCATATATATTCACCCTGCATTTCGATAAATTTATATAACTGAATTAATTATTTTAATTTAAACAAAAGATCTGGTTATATTAATAAAAAACATGGAATACATATAACAATGGTAGGTAAATGTCCAGGATGTGGATATTCTCCAAGGTCAGGTAAAACCCGAGATCTAGATAAGCACATAAATTTAACTGGAAACCTTCGTAAGGGGCAATGTCAACCAGCTTTGCATTTAAGTCAAATCTCTGCAGGAAATCCGACTCCGATGCAAAATGCACCACCAGTGAAAATCTGATTCCGATGTAAAACCAAGCGCCAGTAGATAATCAAGCACTGAATCCGGAAGGAGATATCATATCATTCAATGAAAATCCGCTAACAGCACACCCACCAGCACGAGAAAAAAATGAGCTGGCAATAGATCCAGAGATGGAATCTAGTACAGAGCGAAACTAAACTATCTTGATTTATAAAAATATAGCAAATGGAATCGAGTTTTATGATAGAAAAAGAAAATGGTATGGCGTTAAAGAAGATTTTCATGCATTATATAATAAATATCTATTTTATTAAAGCAGATAATGGAGAAACAATTATGGGAGCATATAAAAGAATTAACAATGAGTCAGAAGCTATTGCTAAAAAAAATGGTAAAATTGATATGCGTAAATCTGGAAATTATACATTAACCACTATAAAATTTTTCAAAAAAACCACTTTAGCGCCACAAAAAAGTAAAAAGATAAGTGAACAAGAAGGTGCATGGGTAGATTTAGCAACAACTGGTGCTCTAATATTTGCCGAAAGATATGAAGGAGAAGCTATTCAATATGATGTAAACTCAATGTATGTATTTGAAATGATGAAAAAGAATGTAACATGGCCGATTGCACCAGGTAAATTTCATACAATAAATCCATCTTTTTGCAGAAAGTTGGGACAAATTTTATTATGGAATTTATAAAGCAACGATAGAAGGAAGTCCTCCAAAAAAAAGCCTCCAATGTACACGATATTTGCGATATAATCCGCATGGAATTTATACACATTATGATTTATAATGGACACGAAAAATGGATTGAAAGTAACATTAATGAGCATATCACCAAATGCACTTATTTATGAAAGAAATGCTCGTATAACAGGAAAAGAAATGTTTGGAGAATGGAGTGATATACTGTACAATATTAAAAAAGAAGGAGGAATAGCAGGAAAGGTTGGTAAGGCATTATGGGGTGCATTATGTGAGCAAAGGAATTACGGAGCACATACACGAATAAAACCCTTTTTATTAGCATCATCACGTAAAACAATCTCAGAAATTGTAAAACCATTAAAAGATCAAGTAAAGCGCATACATACAGATGGATTTATAGTAGCAGGGCAAGTAAATCTTAAAACAGGTATAGAAATGGGCGAGTTAAATCTTGAGAAAAGAGGAATTTGTACAGTAAAAAATTGTATAACAGTTTCATGGGAACAACCATATCCAGAAATACCAAATTTGATTACGAATAATATTTCTTCAGACTTAGAACAAATACAAGAAGAGCAGGACTCAAAGTCGACACAAATTATAGCTAAAAAAAAGATCGATGTAGAGGCAGACACAAAGTGTCATTTCTCTTTTCCCGAATGAAGAAGCGTACAACAAAAGAATGACTAGATATAGAAAATGGTTCCAAGGTAAGAAAGAACTTCTTGCAGGTATAGAGAATCTATATAATCTTTATTATGAGTTATCCAAAAAGGAGCGACCTATGACTGAGGCAGAAATTGAGGAAGCAACTGAGGATGTACTTGTAGATATTTCACTTCTTAAAACTAAAGCAGATTTAGTTTCGCTATATGAGTATTGGAATATATAAATTTATTATTTTTTCGGTATTGAAAATTTATAATTAGAAAGATCACTTAATAAAATCCGCACGTTTGATACAAGCTTTCAATAGTTGCTTAAAAATCAATGATACATGGTACGCGGAAGCAAGGCATGAACTATATATGAGACACAGAACACTTAGAAAGCAATATTGGAAAATGGTATCTGAAAGAGAGATGGAAGATAAGAAATTTCACAATGAAAATGATATATGGGCATATTTGGAACCGGATGAAAATGTTAACAACCATATTAATAAAATGGAAACTCTAGATGGAAAATGTTTCGAAATTTTCAAAGCACAGGTAGAAGTAGAAAAATGCATGCTACAAAATAAATTAATCAAGGATCGAACCTGATAATAGAAGCATATTCATATTGATTAGGTGCATTATCCCGTCTTCTCGCATATATGCTCGAAGCCAGATATTAGACAAGTTAACCAATTTTCTGAATCTTTATACAATGCTATCTATTTATCTTTTTCCGAACCAGAGAGGAAAAAGTGTCCCGCACATGATGGATATCAAATTTCTGGTCCTTCTATGAATCGGTTAAAAGAAAAAGGACCAATACGATCTTTGCAAGTTGATGATCAAAAATTAATACATCGATAACTACGATCACCCGGAAAAATTTCTGCCGAAAAGTAATGTGATACATTTTGGGATATGATAAAGCGTTGTACCCACGTGATCAATCACCGGTTAATGATTTATAAAGTCAGGGTAAGGGTTAGGGTAGGACTGGAGTAAAGGATATAAGTAAAATTGTCTTCCCGACATTTTAATTAGACTTTCAAGCTAGGTTTACTCATTCGTTTTCCGTCGCCTCTTTAATTTTCTTATGTCGGATTTGTTTTGTCGGGTTGATCAAAATTTGTGCATTCTTATTGGTGATCAACAAAATTTGCGTATCCTCATTGGATGGATTACCTGAAGGTACAACGCTTTATCGTATCCGCCATTTTTTCACATATACACATGCAGGCAGAATTTGTCGTTTTTTGTTTACTTTTTCTTGTGTACCATTCCGCAGTCTACCACCAAAAAATCACATATAACTCGAAAATGTCGCCACTTCAACTCCAGCCTCCGCTTCTTCTAACCATGCAACAGAAGAAAAGCCCGCTCCCACTTTGGCTGAAGTGGTTAGAAAGTTAAATACGGAAAAACTTATCGAATTTTTGCGTGCGGAAGACTTGCAACTCGACGAAACTCATTTCAAAATCCTCCGTGATGAGGAGATCTCTGGCCGTGATTTTCTCAAGATGGGAAAACAAGCTTTCAGAAACTCCGGCTTCAAGATTGAGCCTGCGATAAGACTTGTGGACTTCGCCAAAGAGGTCAAGGAGAAAAAATTGAGGCGTATTCATCTTTCCGCACCTAGGCAGACGTGAAGGAAGTACATTGTATTGGCAAAGTATAAACTCGGTGATTCAATATCGAGCATCCACAATTTCAGCCGGCTATACACAAACTCGAGGACACCAATGAGGCGCTCATTGCATAAAGGAATTACGACTCAGGTTAAAAAATTTGGGAGGGTTGGCACCAGATATCAATGAAGCGGTGCGTTGTGAATTCATATCGCCAATTCTGCATGCGTCAGTTAGCCTCCTCGAAGGTCTTATCCTGGCACCACAATTTGAAGTCGTCGGTGATGAAACCACGGGTCGGGTTGATTATGCCATCAAAAAACTCTTAGATTCATTGCGTGAGGAAATTGTATGTATCACGGAAGGCAAACAGCACCAAGTGGCGATTGGTTTTTGCCAGAATTTACTTCAGATTGAGAGCGCGTGTCAAACGAATAAGAGGAACGTAAGGCAGGGGAAGCATTTTCTGACGAATGTGACTACATGTATGGGATCGTAACTACAGGTAAGGGTTAATAATGAATTTTTTTCCGACAAAATTTTGCTAATCTATCTCCCAACTTTTAGCAACGGAATGGTACTTCATTTTGTACACGACTGAAGGGATTTATTCCACGAGCGAGATGGATTACCTCATCAGCTTCCCCTCGATAATGAAGACGAATTCCAGCGCAGTGTAAAAAGGGTAAGGGAGGTAATTGTTGGTTTGTTGGAAGATAGGGAGGGCGCAGTGAATGAGAAACCATTGGCGAAAAAACGTCGCGTTGGTAGTATTCTCAACAAATAGTCAGAGATTGTACCCGACTTTGTAATTTATTTTTTTTCATTAATAAAGGATGATTCTTTTACGCGTAATTAATCACCTCTGAGATATGCAATCCCGTTAATATCGGGTTCGCAAATTTAGTAAGTCTTTCCGAGCGATTTCATATGTAACTGTCGACGCCAGAAAATGTATATAGGTAAGGGAAACAAGAAATCAAGGGAATTTTTCCCCTCAAATCCACACACTATGGAAACCACACATCTCCAGGCACTCGCATTGAATTTTCTGAAAAACATACCAGGCTTTCTCAATGAGGGAGTCGACATCCCGACGCTAAGTAATTGCCACAAATGTAACGAGCAAATTTTATCGGTACTCTCCTGTGGCCATATACTTCATCGAACTTGTATTCAGGAAATTATCATGGGAACCGAAGCAAAATGTCCGGTTTGTAAACTACGAAGTCTATTAACGAACGCACTCAAATACTATAATAATACCAGACGATCAGAGTCCACCGCCGACCGCACCCATACAAAGTCAGTCGAATCAAACCAACGATGAGCAAGGCCGAGAACCAACACCTCCGAATAAATTACAAGGTTTGATAACCGAACTATCCACACCTACTAAAGGTGAATCTGACGAAGCCGATGAGAATGAGATACCTGATGGATCATTATCCCAAAATTTGGCCCGGCTATATTAAAAAGCGCTCAAAGCGAAAAACGCGTGACTTATGCATATCAAGGGGAAATTTGGTGTTGGTATTACTATACGGAAGGGTTTGGAAAACTGGTTAAAGAAATTATGAATGGTGACAATAGAATCGGTGATAGACAGGCAAGGTCTCAAGTATATGGTGAAATGACGGTCCATTTTCCAAGCATAACTAAGGACAATTTGCGAAAAAAGACTCAGAAGGCGAGAGCCATCTATACATTGTTCAGTCAGATTGGAGTGAAAAAAATCAAACGAATTCAGACAATAGTGCAAACACAATTTCGAATCTGACGGGTACACAAATCCAAAGTATTGTGGATAGCTTCTCATTGGAGTTTTGGCGATCGTGAATAGTTGTTCACGCAAACGTGACTTTGTGTTATAAAGGGATTTTTTTCTTAGACTTTTACGGGTTCAGATTTTCAGGTGGCGAGAGCCAGTACACTAATTCTCATTGGGCAACTTGTAAACAAATTTGTAGTACATTGGGCTGACTGCAGTTAAATAAAGTTGAGGTTTTTTTAATTTTACTGAGAAAGTAAAACTGTCTGCTGAACTTCGTATAAGTCGATGGTAATATTAGTAGCCATCAATACAGCAGGAGGAGGTGCTAATGGAACATATCCAATCGCAGGAACCGGCGGATCGTAAAACACGTCGCTAACGGGGATGTTGATTAAATAGTTTGGGTTGTTTAGTGCATTACAACCATTAGCGCCAGTAGCAGATCCGTCTTTGTTGACGGTCCCAAATTTCCACTGCCATATAAAAAATTTGAACGTTACAGTAAGTATAAATTTCTCTTTCTCTAGACAAGTAAACCTTACCTTTTGCCTTTGCACCCCTTGTCGCCAAAGCATAGCCTAATATTGAAAAACTATTAAGATGAAAAATTATATAATAATGAAACAGCGAGATATACCTTCATTGCCCGATCTCTGTATCCTTGTGCGTTGAGTGTATTCTTTATTTCGTAAAGCTTGATGCCGAGTACAGCTCGTACGTACGGCTCTCGCTTCCATTTCCTGCACTTGTCTTTTAAGTCGGAGGAGGTTTGGCTCATGGCTACTTCAAGGATTATCCTCGAATAAGGGTTTCCCTACATAAACTATATTAGTATCAGGAAAAGTCCTATATCAACCACGAGGAATAGATATAACAGATTCAAAGTACCTTTGTGTCACTCGGAGGGGGACCAGGGTGTGGGACAGGAGGTCGTGGAACAAAAGTAGGGTGTGGAAAGACAGCGAGATCTGGTGCAATACGGGATCCATCTCGACTTGGCGATTCGTGCACTGTGGGAAAGGTATGAAATCAATAAACCAAAGATCAAGTAAGCTGAAAGTAATTCCTTACATGGTTGTCCACGAATTTGTAGTGGAGAATTAAAAGCGAGAGCGCCACCGTTTGGAACATCGAAGCGTTTTGTCAACACAAAAATAACAGCCTCATGTTCATTTGTGGTCATATCAACTATATATATAGTGCCGTTTTTATACTCAATTTTATATCCAGTTTTCTCCCGGCCTTCGATGAAAGCGTTGAAATCTTGCACGGAAACGTCTGAAGCAAGCGGATAAGGAAGACTGCAATACATACGGGTCAATAGACAACTCTCAAATGAATTAGTGTGATGCCTGCCCACCTGGTCTCGCTTAACGGCTTGCGTGGTAAATGAATCCTCCCTGATGAAAATGCTCTCACCAAAGCGCTAAGTGGTTCAAGTTTGACCATTTTTGTTAGCTGTCAAAAATTGATTTGATCTACGTGTGATACATGTCTAGATTTTATAGTGTTTGCATTACTCGTGATCTTGCGACTTTTGGATATATATTACGTAATATCACGGAGGTGAGTGATTTATGCTATGGGCTATGATTCATACAAAATTAAAATCTTTATAGCCTGTTCGACGAGTCGGAATTTGTCGCATCGCATCGTATTGCTCAATGCCAAACTTTTTCTGAATTACGATTACGTCTTTCTCCAGGTACAGGAATTCATATTAACGAAAGCTTTCTTCGTAGAGGTTTTCTTATCTCAAGTTATAGTAAGGAACTATGATAAGGGAGAAGATACAGATAAATCTCTAACAAAAGAAAATATACCAATGGATTATTCATCTCAAGATGAGAATACCGAATCTCTGATAACTAGGCAACAACAAACTATAAATGAGCAAGCAAGCATAATTCGAGATTGCCAAGATCAGATATATAAATTGGTTAGAGTCGATATCATGAGTTATACTAAGACAGTATATTCAAGAGAGAAAAATAATATTACCCTGATCCCATCTCATATAGTATAAATCGTAGTTCGAGGATTTTTAATAAACTTTTGAACATATCCGTATCTTGTATAAAATTATGGCAAATACACAGTCTAAAATCGATTCGTTGCAAAGATTAAATTCTCAACTCATTACCACGATTGCTGATCTTAGAAAGGAGAATGCCAAGATTCCCGAACTTGAAAAAAAATTTGCTGAGATTAAAATCTGAAAATGTGAAGCTGAAGCAGATTATTGAGGAGAATGTAAAGTGTGATATTAGAGTCGAGGAATTAGAGCAAAAGAATAAAGAGCTTGAGGCTAGGCTTTCAGTAGTGGAACAGAGTTCTGTGGTTGTGGATGGACAACCACAGAATGACTCACGGAGCGAGGATGCTAACGCATCCAAGGAAGCGATACTAGAGATATTACCAGAGGTATCTGCTGATGTAGTAGACCAGCTCAAGAAACATGCGCCTGTTTGTAAAGCAAATGATGTGGTATCAGAAGTGTTACCAGAGGTCAATTCCAAGTTACTGGAGGAGAGAGAGATGGATAAATTCTTGAATGAGACACATAAGAAAAATGTTAGTAATAAAATAAGGCAAAACAATAAGAAGCTTCAACGTGATTTGACTGCTCAGGATCTGGCTACTGCCAGCTCGGGGAATGACCAGAGTCATGTAATTTCAGAAAATTCGGGAAACTGTGACAAATTTGTCACGATCAGACTATGTATTTACAAATACCTCCGAAGTATCAGGATGAAATTGATGTGGTTGACACAAGTCAAATCATAGAACAAGGTCTAATTCAAGAATTGATCCAGAATTAATGCGAAGTAGCTTGCCAAAGTAACTCCACATCCTCGGATGATGAAATTAATAAATCTTGTATTCAGAATATGGAAAACTTAATTCCAGGCTTCGCAGAAAGTTTATCATATTTGTTTGATAAAGCGATTAAAAAAGCCAAGAAGAAATTTTGTGTTGGTATTATTATTCCCTTGAATTCGAAAACAGAGTCAAAAGTCTTATAGCTAATGATAGTATTAAGGATAAAATAGCACGAACAAAAATATATAAGGAAATGAAACCTTTTCTACCTCACATCACAGATGCAAATTTACGTAAAAAAACTCAAAGAGTCCAGAAAATTCTTAAATTATTTGGGAAAGAGAGTGTGAGCATTAATAAAATCAGGCAGATCACATATAGCGCAAGCAGTATTTCTGGATTAATCAATGCTCAGATTCAAAATATAATGGATCATGTGACTTCAAAAACCATGACAAATCTGTTACAATCAATTCATATATCTCCAAAGATTAAAATAAATATTCTGATCAAATTATTAACTTCTGGTCCAAATACGTTAGAGGCACAAGCAAGGAGACAAGGCTTGAATTCAGCTAAGATAAGTGTATTAGATGTATTATTTATATCTTAACCTAAGGAAACTCTACCTAGAAAACAGATTAATCACAAGAATAATCACACGAATCTTCTTAAGAAAATATTAGAGCAATTTCCTGATTTATATTATGAATGCAGTAGTGAAAATTTTGATTACTACGGAATTACCAGTGTGATATTATGCTCTTTATGTAAATTAGATCATGAGAATGAAGAATGCATAGAAGGTAAATATAAAAATAGAACTTACTATATAAATGTGAAGCATCTGAAATCAGTACTGTTATACTGCTTATACTAAATCAATTATCTATTTACACTTTCTTATTATTACTATACAATAAAGATTAATATGAGAAGTCGAGCTACTAAAATAGCATATTTATTTAATATTTTTTTATATACCCAATGTGAAAAATTAAATTGCTTTGTAATTATATAAAACAGTAATATGAATATGTAAATTAAGTCTGATAAAATATTGATTCCTGAATATCTGGATTGGCAAGCTAAATTAATTGGTATTTTAACTGATAAAATTCATTCCAAATTGTATAGAAAATATAAAAATGAAACTGGGCTTAATTCCTGGATAAGGTCTGAAACTTCTGAATTCTTACAAATCAAAAAATGCTGATAATCATTTTTTATGAGACCTTATCATTAAAATTTCTAAATTTCTGGAAGAGAAAGATATAATTATTAAAGCATTACATATATTAATACAAATACATGATACCAGAATGTTTTTAAATATACTGATTCAGAAGCCAAATATTCAATATGCAAAGAAGTACATACTCATTTAGGAATATGATGTGACTGGAGTTGTCTAGATAAAAATGATAACTATTTTCTTAATTGTCCTTTTTGTATCAATTAAAAGAAAGTTATAATTGCCATACAAAGTTTGCTAAAAATTCAACTAAGTATCCAACAAAACTCAATCACCAATTCCTAAGACTAATCCAAATAAGATTTATCAGCCAGAGATCAGATTATGCCAATATGCTGTTGAATATAGTCTTGATCCTGAAATATTACTGAGGCTAAGAAAAATAGGTGAACTATGGGATGCTTCTATAATGATTTGGAAAAAGATATATGATGCTATCGTGAATAGTTGTTTATGCAAACATGACTTTGATTGACAGAGAGAAGTACATTTTATAAAATGAATAATTTTGTAGGATTTTACTAGATAATCATTACACATTATTCAAGCCTTATAAGGTTTGATCCATGGATATTGATAGATCAATCTAATTCACTGGTTGTTCCTTCCTTTGCTTTAATAATAATTAGCAAAAAAATATTCATTTAGAAGAACTAAAAGCACAACTAATGAAAGAGATCCAAATAAACCAACAAAATGAGCGCAGGATTTTTCAACTTGAGCGGGATATATCAATTCGTGAGAAAGAGATCCAATAACTTGAAAGTATTCTTTCGCTTTCCAACCAAAAGAAGGAGGAGTTAGAGAAAGAAATCTCTAACCTCAAAAAATCGCTATATCAAGCTAGAAAAGAAATCCGGCAAAAAGAGAAGGAACTCACCACTAAAAAAAATCAATTGGGTGAATTTGATGTCTGAGAAAAAAAGCTCAAACATAAAATAAAAGAGCTATCGACATCAGGAAGAAATTCTCCACAAACCTATAACCAGTTAGTAGAAATAACTGATACAATAGAGCAACTTCGTAATGAAAAACAAACATTGCGACAATACCTTGCAGACAGAAATAATCAAATACCTTGCAGACAGAAATAATCAAATACCTTGATAAAAAAGGCATATAATGGACCTATATTGTCAAAATTTCGCTATAAGATTAATTCATTATCGAGATAGACAAGAACTACACAATACACAAAATGCTTTACAGACTGCTGAAGCCACGAATCAAAATCTGCATACCATATTAGAAGTGCCAGATATGGAGAGAAGTTTTATGTCAGGATCATCTACGGATGATTCCCATTATCAAAGATTGGAAGAGGGACTAGAGAGAGCATTAGAACCTGGGCAAAAACGTAGTCATATGTTAGATGAAATATTAGAAGAAAATAACTCATATAGCGAAAATTCAGATGAAACAAATAATGAAACGCAATACTTTGATACAAATTCTCCAGATACTTATAATCAAGACATAAATATGGCTACAATTCCAGAACTAGCCAATGCCATAGATGGTTATTTAACACCTCAAGATAGACAAGTTTTGCAAAATCAAATAAAACAAACCACAAGACAAATTCGTCGCAAATATGATACCCAGCAACAAATTATTGCAGATTTGTAAACAGAACGTGATGATATCATGATGAATATCTACAGCTAAAAGTTCTTAGCATTCTTCTTAGAAGCCAGCAAAATCGAACAAGACGTGAAAGACGTGAAAAACAAGCATATAAATTTTTATGTGACTATATAACTCGAGATCTATTGAAATACCAGCAAAAATATCAAAATGAGCAGGCATTAGTAGATTTTCGAAAAGAAATTATCAATGAACTCGAGATAGCTAAATATGATTTCAAAAAATAATTTTAGAGCAACAATATTTGGCATTAGTAAATAATCAACTTTTGAATCAAAATATGGCAGAAGCTAGACGTTTACCTACATTAAAATATGTATCTACTCTGTTAAAACCAATTCCTCAATATATGGGACAAATGCCTCTGAATGACTACTGTGATATGGTCATACAAGCCTGGGCTCCCGCTGTGCCAAATATGACTGCTCTTGAAACTGCAAATGCTCAAGATTTTGATGATGTCAAATGTGAGATTATAAAAGGTAAAATGGCAGGAAAATATGCACCAGTGCCAGCAAATAATAATCTTGTAGCAGGAAATCCAGCTATAAATACTCCTGATACATTACGAGCTTGGTTAAATGCAAAATATCAACGAGAAACAATCGGAACTAACCAATAAGATTATCTCAAGAAAGATTTCAGCCATTTGATACTCCAGATACTTATGAAACAAGAATTCGACCATTATTAGGTGTAGCAAATGATGATGCTCGTATTTTAGGAACTATTAAGACTTATTTATCAGGAGATCGTGAACTTTATAGTTGGATGAGAACAGAAAATCCAGCAGGTATTGATGAATTTTTCGTTTTATTAAAATCTATGGCTTGAATGTTCTAGTTTATATGTAGATCAAAATCATGATCAAGTACAATCGGGCACGTTAGTACCCTCGTATGAGAAGAAAAATCGTTTACAAAGCAAAATTACAATGCACGAATTTCACTGCCTGCTGATAACATACTGCAACCTACAGTTTCGCAAGCGGTATCTTCCTCATATAATGAAATGCAAAAATCATTTCAAGCTATGTTAGATAAACGAGATGCTGAACAGAAGGCTGAGATAGAAAAACGGGATGCTAAACATAATACTGAGATGGAAAAATTGAAAGCCGAGTTCGAATCAAAATGAGTCAATAATCCAAAAAATCTCATCCTTCGGTTCCACCCCAAGATTATGAACAAATACATGAATTTTATGCAGATCAAGGAGATCCTAGATGGTCAAATATTTCTAGAGAAGAAGCATTACAGTGGTTAGATAAAGCTTTTCCCCCTCCCATAGCAACTAAACCAGAACGATTGCGTTCATCAAATCAAAATGATAGAATAGAATCAAAAGTAGATGAAATTGGTCAAATGACTTCTCAATTCGGAAGAATGGTGCTTGATAATCAACCAAAAAACCTGTAGCCAAATCAAAACTTACGCGTCAATATTTTACTCTTTTAAAGCCAACATATCAACCAGACAATAATGCTGGTGATGAGGAAGATGATAGTGGTGATGGATATAATGAGGAAGAGAATAGATGGTATGTTCCTTCATCTCACTCAGAAAAAAAACAGATATTACCAATAGTTGATAAGACATGTTCTGATATAACACCTAAAACTTATGATCAACTAATGAATTCGTTATCAATAGCAATGCAAAAAATATGCAAATATTCATTTATAACTAAGAAGTCTGAAAGACCAATGAATGGTTCGAATCTTTACATAGTAAAGTAAATGATTTGACAATTTCAATTTGTAAGAGAAATTTTTATATAATTGTTAATTATCAAGTTATAATAAATAAATTAAAAGTTTATATTTTTTGTTATAGACTATTTTGAACTCAAGTTTACTATATCAAAAGTTAATTAGTGTAACAAATTAAAATGAAATAAAATCAAATCAAAATAAAATTTGGATCTTTCTTTATGGAATAAAAATTTTAGAAAAGAGTTAGAGTTAGATTAAAACATAAAGTATGATTATTAAACATCCCACTCTGTTTCGTTTTCATCTGGTTTCATTTTAATCCGCCACAATAAGTCTTGGCTATGTTAAGAGTTCACTATAACAAGAGTAACTTATAGTGATTTTTGAGAAATTTTTATATTTTGATTAAACAAAAATTGATCAGTTTGATCAAAAAATATAAATTTAAAAAATAAACATTTCGTAGTATGTATTTTTGTTCTTTTAAACCACAAGAATTCAAGAATATTATATACTAGATATAGAAATTTCTATATTTAATTTTACACCATATTTAATTAATTGAAGAAATTCATGGTTTATTATATTTGTACTGAATAAGTTTTTTATATTTGTTTATTTTTTCCTTTTTATTTAAACTTATTTTATAACTATACAAAAGAGATACACTGTATTCTTATTCCATTAGAAATCATTCAAATATTTACTCAACAACTCTACAAATTGAAAAAAATTATTAAAAACCAAAAAAGCCGATTCAAGCCGACAACAAAAAAATCAAATATACCTTGATCCCTATAAACTGGATATTCCGGAAGGAGACCATAATAACTAACAAGCCCAGCAGTGTTAAGCTGACGTTTCTTAGACTGATCAACTGATAAATCCTCTTCTTCCGTTTCTTGATCTGCAATTAATGGTGCATGAGGAGGATGCACAGGTGGAACAATACGTGCAGCAGGTATTCCTAAACGTCGTGCGGCACGTCTAGCAGGACCTCTAAGTCTAGGTAGATGCACCGCTGGGCGTACGAAAACATAATCTTCCGGATCTTCACTCTCATCTTGAAAGTAATCGTAAATATTCGGCAACTCAAAACATTCCAATCTTGCATGAACAATTTTCAAGAAATATTCAAGCGCCTGGTAATTACAATCCCATTCTCCGTAGTATCTGTCGACTTTCAAGTACCGTAATGTTGGAGGGAGAAGTAATCCAAGTTTCTCAAGAAATGCGTTTGCTTCGAATCCATGTTCCGCGCCAAATATAAAATCAATCAAATGGTTACATGATAAAAGAATACTCGTGATTTCTTGATCGTTCAATTGAAATAGCTCGAGGTACTCTAGATTTGGACAGCATCTGATTATCGTATCGAGAATTCGTTCTTTTGGAAATGGATTGTTATCGTTCATTGATGAGTGTATTTTCAAGTATCGTAAATTCTCGTTAGTTGTTTCCAAAAATCCGGCTATGAAATCGACAGGAATCTGATTATGGTATTCATCGATTGAGAAAAATTGTAATTTATAGAAAGCTCTTGACAATGGCGCGGTGGTTTCTTCGCCTAGGTGAAATGATCCTTTTAAAATTAATGAACGCAAGTTTTCACAGGCAGCCAACGCATAAACCGACGCATTGGAGAGAATACCGAAGTTGACACCTATCAATTCTAAAGTCTGGATATTGTTGACGTGATGTATAAGAGAAGCAAATACGAGTGATAAATCTCCATGGTAACGTGTCAACTTCAAATGACAAAGACAATTTTGTGATGAAATCAATTGAGATAGCGCGACAGGTTCCTCTTTTGATACTTCTGACTCTAGTCCATCAATCGACAAATATTTAATTTCTCGGCATTTTCCAATTAACCTTTTCACAAAATTCGTCTTGTCAAAAGTTCCACCTAGCACAAGTTTATTCAATTTCAATAAAACTGAATCATTTCCTTTGATATCTGGCAACGAGAAAGAGATCTGATTCCGCCAGCTACTTGCGACATCAACACCCACCTCAACATTTATACTACGAAGAGTACCACACTGACTAAGAAACCCCTTTAACAACTCCTGCACGATAAGTAACGCATGTCGTCGTTGCTCTTGAGTGAAATCAATAAACTGATGTTTGAGAATTTTCAATCTGTCAATAGCAGAATCATGCGGTGCACACCATTGCAACGCCGATATTTCCAAATTTGCATTATCGATGTGTCTTGCGAATGAAAGATAATTGAATACTGGTGTTGGACGAGTGTATTCCATGTCAACACCATTTTCTAGTAAATAATTTATTTGTGTGTTTGAAAGGCACGATAAGTACACCGGAATTATCTTGTAGGTTGGTGATCGTTCTAACGGGCGTCTCCATAGTATTGGCGCAGCTATTTGGCACCATGACCGACAGACGAGCAGACAAGAGAGCAGTGTTTTCTCTCGTGATATTTCTTCAAATATTTGTTGAAAATTTTCAAATGCTAATCTTAAAACCATTTTTTTATATTTATTTTTACTAAAGAATATAAAGTATTATAGAAATAATTTTTTGTAGAATCTCCCCCGTCTATTTTTAAGTGTGAGTGAAAAAAAGATAATGATAATGATAATGATAAAAGCCCGAAATACATTACAAATATGTGCATCGCATATTATACCATATCGATATCGATATCGATATGATCAGAATGTAAATTAACCATATATAGCTCATGATTAGCTTAATACATGTAGAAGTTGATCTTACTACGTAACATGTACATGTTCATGTATAACGTAGCGGTTCGCAGTCACAGGAGGAATGACAGTCAACTTTCGTTAAAAATATGTGACTGTTAAAGGTACATAGTCAACTCTCGTTAAAGAGAATTGACTGTAATATAATTTTTATTTGAAAATATTTAAATTATTTCTTTGATTCTTTTTTATTTAAATATTACTTAATGACTCTTTTTATAGCAAACCGTCTATTAGAGAATAATTTTTATATAGTGCCAGTTCTAAGAATATACATTAAAAGAAGCATAACTACATACTGCAATGAACTTTATTATTATAAAGAGTCAACTATAGATTTCTTTTATTTTAATAATAAATTAGTGATACTATTAAATTTATCAACTGGTCCAGTTATCATAATTTTATTAACAAGGATGGTCTGTATATTTGAAAATCGAGTCAGCTAGCATTAATAAAAATTAACAACTTATATTCCTATATTCAAATGAAACTACTACTATTTGATTTATTTCAATAAGAATTACTGGTTCCTAAAATATCGCATAAAATATATATTAACTTGGAGAACATTGACTTTTACAGATATTTTTTATATTTTTTTATATTTAGATTTATAATTAAAATACAATTAATTTTTATTTAAACTTATTATTAAAAAAATTTTATTAGTTAAAGACTTATATTTGTACTTGCAATAAGAATACAAATTTTTCAATGAAATATTTACAAAAAAATATTTTGGATATTTAACTTTAATAAATATTATTATAATTAGAAACTAATTGAGTTCATAAATACATGTAATAATATTATTTCATTTATAATATTCTTTTATTGTTATAAATAAATTATTAAATTATACAATAATTAGTTTACTTTATAATCTGATAACTAAATAAGTTTATTATTTTTCTAATAAAAAAGTAAAATAATATATTAAAAATAATTATTTTAATATAAATAAGAATTCTAATATTTATCAAAGTAATTAGTGATTTAAAAAATATTTATTTTATTATATTTATATAAGTAATATAATCAAGTTTAATTTAAGCAATATTAAAATTTGAAAAATTCATATTATTATTTTTTATTTATATTTTTATATATAATTCAAAAACTTTTTTATTAATGTTAAATTATTATAAAACATATTAAAATAAATATTATATATTTATTTTGTTTAAATAATTTAAATTATAAAAAATTTTAATAATTTCATTTATATAAGATTAATATTTATTATTAATTATTTAAATATTTTTTTATAATACTTTTTGAAAAAAATTTATTTGCAAAATATTTTATATTAAAATTTAAGATTAATAATAAAAATACTTATTTTTAATTTATAGATAATTATATTTTTTTATTATTGTTAAAAATATATTAGATATAAATTTATATAATTTTAGCAAGCAAATTTATTTGCTAAATCAATAATAATTTAATAAATTAATTAACATTTTATAATAATTATAATAAAGTTTTTATATAATATAAATACAAATATAAATTCTAATACTTTTTAACTTATTAAAAATTTTTTAATAATAAAATTAAAAAATTAACTAAGTAATTCAATAAAATAATAATTTTATTAAAATATTTTTATAAATATATAATTTAAAAATATTTATTTGGTTATTATTTTAAAAATTTTAATATTAATTTTTAACTAACTTAGATAAAATTAAATATTTTTAAAATATTAATAATATTAATATTTAAAACTTTGTGAAAAATCTAAAAAAAAATCTAATACTAATTTTTAATTGACTTTATTAAACTTATCTCAAATTTTTTTATATTATTCTAATTTAAAACTAATAAAGCTAACTAAAAATTAATATTAAAATTTTATTTAATAGTTAAAATTTTCTAATATTATTAATATAAAATTAAAATAAAAAGATTATTAAAGTCAATCTTGTTTAAATTTCATAAAATTAATACAAAATTTATATATAATTTGAAAAAGTTAATACTTCTAACTTATATATAATTAATTCTAATATTTTCAATTCTAGTTAAGTAAAATAATAAACTTTTGTAAAAACATTAAAGTTTTTGATAATTTTAATAAAAATCCAGAAATTAAACCAATTAAATTATTATAAAAATCTCTTTTTAATATAACAATATAACAAATAGTTCAAGATTCTATCTTTGATTTTTTTTTAAATTAAAAAGTAAATAAAATATATATCAAGAATAAATTAACTTTAAATGGTGATAATAATTCAAAATTTACTGGTAATAATCTACTTGTTGATATTTAAAATTTTGGAAAATTGATATAAATAATATTAAAAAATTAATTGAAAATATTCTTGGAATAGTATCAAAACTTACTATAATTAATATAGGTATCACAATTAATAATCAAATTTCAAATACATCATTATCAATTTTTTTCTGTTATTATTATTTGTATTTCTGCAATTCAATCTGCTTTTAGAAATTTCTGGATAGTTAGTAATTTATTTTGAAAAATGTTTAGATTGCATTCAATATATTTATTATAGTTGGCTGTTGGATTTATATCTTTAATAACTAACAAAAATTTAAATCTTTTTAGATATGCTGTATAAAAATCTATCTAATAGCTTTTATTTAAATTCTAGTTTGTATGTTAACTATTATTTTTCACTGAAGAATATATTATTTATTATAGCTTTTTAGTTACAATTAATAAAGAAATATATTAAAGTAGTGATTGGACTAGTACTTATACTCAAGTTAACTTGAGTTTGCCATATTTTGACTCGAGTGATTACTCTGACTTGAGTCAAGTTTGACTCAAGTTATACGTACTATTAGTTCAAACAAAATAAAAAAGTATTCATTTTAAATCTTGAAACCACTAATATTTTTTAAAAATAATTTAGCAACAGATTATTTTGTGAAATAAAGTGATTTAAATCAAAATTTACAATTAGTAGATTTCTCACATTGAAGAACTTTTTT